GGGGATTCTATTATTATTTATTGTCCTAAAAGATGTGATCTGATCCTGACAACACTTCCTATTTAATGGTGCCCTCAATCCTTAATCTCATTTCAGATCATACTTAGTTCACCTCCTATTCTCCTGCCAACATTCCTGTCTTTTCTGTATCATAGATCGTAGCCCTTCATTAGCCAAGATTGTTGGTAATGTAAGTCTTGTAGCATTTGTTAGCTTCAGTTGAAGTATGTGCAATAGATCCATTTTCACTAATTCAACAACCCTGTTTCTGAATTCTCAGAGCTGATTTTACCTGAAATCTGCGAATGCTTCCATATCTGGATTGCTAGGCTGTTCTCATAGATGTCTATGTCTGCCAAAACTAGAGAAAAATGAGAAGGGGAGATGTTAAAAGCCAATTATTTCTAAAATCTTTAATCTCACTTGATTATTCTCCTGTTCTTGACATCCTCCCCACCCCTGCCTGCAACCTTGGGACTTCAGCTAATGCATTGTGGAACATAGTATCTTGGGCAAGGTGAAAACCACTTGCTATTGAAGTATATTGCAGTACAGATCTCACTTGAAAAGTGCTTTCTGTAATGGAAACCAGAGAAAGAGACAATGTCTAAGTCCTCTGGAGCAAATTTTAAAACCATATGATTGGAATGTAAGGTTGTCCACTCATATGACATTAGAGCAGATCATCAGAGCAGTATTTCTCGACCTTGGCACCTTGAAAATGTGTGGACTTCAACTCCCAGAATTCCCCAGCCAGCATGGGAATTGAAGTCCACACATCTTCAAGCTGCCAAGGTCGAGAAACACTGTATTAGACTATGTAGTCATATCGGGCAACAACAGTGTGCAATTGCATGGGATAGATAACTATTTGGCTTGATACAGAAAAAGGGAAAAGGACCTTCTCCAAAGAACTTACCATGTCCACTGCTTTTGAGTGTCCCAGTCACATTTTGGTATCCATTGGAACTGTCTTCTGAAAGAGGGAGAAGGTTGAGATTGAAAAAAAGCATCAAAGCAGAATAGATCTCTCATTGTGCTGATGTTTGCCTGAAGGCAACTAAGGAGAACAATCATGATTTCATCCGCTGTGTGCATTCTTGATGATGTTTGTGTGAATATGCAGCTCAGAGAGGCAACCCATAAACCAGGTATAAGAAGCTTTTATATCATATAATGTTCAACTTAAGCATTTCTGGAACGAGTTACCTGCCCATCGTTTGGATCTTCAGAGAGGAAGAAGGGCAGTGTCAGAAAGAAGAGGAGAAAGGGAAGTGTTCTACAGAGGAGAAAAGGTCATAGAAGGGAAATGGTGTCAGAAGGAGAAGGAAAAAAAGATATGCTAAGGAAGAGAAAGGGCAGCTTACCATCCCCCCCGCCCCCCATTTTTGGCTCTGGCTGCACTGACTACCTCAACTTTTTTTTTTAATCTGTTCAGTCATGTCCAATTATCGGAGACTGCCTGGACAAGTCCACTCAGGTTTCTTGGGACAGGTTTTTTAGAGGTGTTTGT